TTATAGTATGTTATAAAGCATTTGGAATAATTTATTATAACAGTGATTATAATATACTATGAGAATTACTCATTACAATACAAAATTATCCTTAACAATTATGATGTATCATGATTGTTGACCGTAGAAGTCATTATAAAACACTTTATAATGTGTTATAATTATAGTATAAGGATTTATATTCTATTCTATATAACTATTATTCTAAATTGCTATAAGTACACATTTGTAAGTATGTTTATAATGCATTACAGACATGGGCGTCATAGGGAGTGTTACAAAAAGTACAAATCTAATTTAAATGTGTTAATAAATCCTCTAGAGAATAATACTGCAGTGGTAATGCTGCTGTTTGTTGATCAGAACACATTCAACAGATTTTGGTTAAAGGTCAAATAATAAACTAAAAGCAGAGAGAAACATAGAAATCAGAGTCAGTGTGGCCACACTTACTATTTATGTTTTCCCAAAACCTCTGAAGGTGTTAATATTTCATTAGACTGTGAAAGTCTGCCAGCGATCGCCATGGATGAATAGTTTAACAGTTTCTGCCTCTACAGCCTGAACTAACTCTTGGTTGCAGCTTTTAATGACAGCTTTAGATTCTCTGCTAGTATTCAATATAAACATCTATCTTAACACCAACAATATAAAGTTAATACAACAGTGAGTCAGATTGTTGCCTCTCAAACAACCTTTAGACCGTCACGTACCTCTCCAGTGAACACCAGACTAATAGGTTCCCTCAAGGTTGGCGGCACTTAAACTCCCTGATCTGTTTAATCCCGTCCTCTCTCCCTCATATGAGAACATTAAAGGTCAGCGTGAGCCCCATCCATCACACACCGACCGTACAATCACATCATCCCGGTGCCCTCACCTCCGCTGGCGTCTGTCAGTTCGGTCCTGCGGAGGAAGCCCAGGTATCCGGTCCTGGCCCAGACGGTCTGCGTGTCTCCAAAGCTGAGTCTGGAGTTGAAGTGGTCCGACTGCAGCGCCTCGTCTCCGTAGACGGTGAAGTAACCGCTGGCGTTGTGGCCGCTGTGCACCCAGATCTGCAAGCATGAGACCGCAGCTGTTACACCACATGATAGCGGCTCTTTCTAGTCTTCTGACCCCCCCAGAGCTTTCCACTACATGTACCCCCCGACTGGCACATCATCAGGAGCAATCTGGGGTTCAGCATCTTGCTCAAGGACACTTCGACATGCAGAGGGAGGAGCCGGGGATCGAACCGCCAACCTTCTGATTACCTCCTGAGCCACAGCCCCATGGAGCTCCTGTTTACTGCTGCAGTGGAGATATGACTGCTGCTGCAACGACTCTTACAGATTATTGTCATTATTAATTAATGTCAAACAAAAAGTGTTTAGTTTAGTTTTTAATGATACAAGATATTTGTGTTTAATTATATTAATAAACTACTTAAAATCATCAATGAATGATTCAAATTATTGTGGATATTTCTGTCAAGTTGCTCAATAAAGCGCCTTAATTGGATGATTTGATGTTAGATGGACTCTTCCTGTCTGCTGTGATGTTGGTTCAGGTAAAAGAAGAAGTAGTTATACCTCGCCCAGGTGCGACTCCCCCATTGGTCCCTTGGTCTCTGGGTTGGCGATGATGATTCGGACCCCCGGCAGGATCTGCTCAGATAGCAGAGACAAAACATCAACATCTAAATGATTTAAGTGTTTTAACTCAACCTTTTTTCTATGAGGGACCCTTTTATATCCTTTATTAAACTGACTCAGTGACGTATTTTATGGATATTTCATATCATATTAAAAACTGTACAGTGAACTTAGTAACTTCAGGAAGTTTGTGTAAAATGAGTGATTTAGATGAATTATGAGCAGATTATTTCCTTTTTCTGATAAAATTCTATCAATGTATCAATCACTGATCACTGTATCTGATTAATTCAGTGTTTTCTCGTCCATTGTTCTTTTAGACAATTCTTCTTCTTCACAGAAGTGAACCAAACGCTGAGATATCGGCCTAGTGGGGGTCCCGACCCCCAGGTTGGGAATCGTTGCTTTAACTACAGGAAAAAAGAAAAGAAACTGAAGCTCACCTTCCCAGACTCCATCAGTGGCAGACTGTGTGGTGACCCCCTCTCCACTAGTCTGACCCTGTGGAGCAAAACCAACATCTGTTCATTAACTTTAACCAAACATCATCATCATCACAGATTCACGAGATTGTCTTTTACTAAAGGGACATTTACTGTGTATCCTGCTTAAAACATTCCTTTTTTAACTTAAAGACATAATTATTTTATTCTTATTTTGTTCTTTCTCCTCCTGGAATAATATTTCATATTTCACTGTTTGCAGTTTTGGAGGATTTGATCTCCACAATAGTGCTCGACAGCACTCTGACTGGAGCAAATCTGGGACATTTTAGAAGGATCTCTCTGTTCCTGTACGTCTGTGCCCAAAATGTCATCTTCAGATACGTCATTTGAAATGAAATAACAAAGAATACTGTGCAAACACAGTCATTATACTTCTGCTCTGACCACTAACGCTTAAAATAAAATTATTGATCCCTGACGGAAACAGACAGAAGTGGTTGGTCAGATCATAAACCGGGCCAGCTTAAATCAACAGTGATTACATGTAATCACGCACACTGACAGTTATATTTATGCACAGCCGGACTGAAGAGCCTCGCCGCTTCGTGTGCTGTGACTTCTCTGGAGGAAAATGACAGCGGAGCGGTCGCAGACGCAGGCTGAAGACCATAATGATCCGCTGGATCAGAGAACAGGAAAGTGAAGTTTCCCAGACACACCAGAGAACTTTCTGGGCCCCTGACGTGTTTAAATTTACATTTTTACAGTTTGAGCTGCAAGCCGGAGTCTAGCTGAGCTGTAGTGGTCACAGGATTGTTCCTTTAATCCCACCGCACCACCTTGTCATGACATATTCGAGTAAATTGAAGGCTTGCTTGTCCTCCTGGAGTTGTTGTCCATCTCTGTTGCCTGGAAACTGACAATGTTTCACCAACTTAAGACATGAAATCTGACACTAATGTTAAGCCCTCGCGGCGATTTTCAAACCTCCGAGTTGGTTCACAAAGTCAGACTTCTCCTCTGAAAGCCAAAAACTCTGGGAAAACACATTCTGGAGACTCCTGAGTTGCTATTTATGGTGTCACCCAGCACAAAATGTGACTCAGACTGGCTTCGATGGGTTTTAAGTGTCTCTTCCTCAGACTGGAAGTGTTTTAGAGGAAGTGGAAGAGGCTGTGAGGGTGACAGCCGAGCTGAGATGTCTGAAATCGTCACGCCATCTGGAAGAAAACTTTTAGCTTCTCATTATATTCAAAGTTTTTACAATCAGCCAGGACCGCCGGCTGTAGAACAAGTCGTGCGTTAGAGTAAGCATCTTTACCGAGAACCTTATTTATTCTGGGAGCGTTCACAAACACCCGGCTGCCCGGACTGAGATCCCACAGCAGCAAACAAACTCTTCGTGGGCACAGAATATATTTAATGTCTGTCTGTGAGAGGATGGAAAACAGACTCGTTGTGGGATGAAACTTCAAATGAGAAAATATAACAGGATGTTATTACTGAGCTTACCCAAGCATACAAATCTAAATGCCTTTATGTAAATCAAATACAGCTGAAATACTGACTGCACGTATTTTAAAGGTTTGTTTTGAAGGACCAGTGTGTAGGATTAAATGGCATCTAGCGGTGTAGTTACAGATTACAACCCCCTCGCCTCACCTTCTGTTCTATGCTGATTCTGGCTTATCTGGAGCTGGTTTGGTTTGTCCATCCTGGGCTACTGTAGAAACATTGCGGACTCTGTACACTCATGGAAATTACCTTTAAATGTTATATTTCATTTCTGCCAACAGATCCTCCTCAACGTTACACACTGGACGTGTTCCCATCCTAAAAGTAGCCTGCTAGACACTTGAGTATCTGAATTTAAATGTATTTACATTAAATCAATAGAAATCAATAAAGGCCTTATTGGTAACTTATCGTGGTAACTCTAAGGAAATTCATAGGAAGGTTCTTGGAAAAGACAATAAAGACTGTTAATCATTTCTAAATAATTTAAATGCGAAATGTCCAACAACAGATTAAAGGTGCAGTGTGTAACATTTAGGAGGCTCTGTTGGCAGAAAATGAAAATATAATGGAATAACCTGAATGTATTTTTGTTACCTTAGATGAGCTGGTTTTATCCTCTTCTACAGAGTCGGCCATGTTTCTACGGCAGCCCAGAATGGACAAACCAAACTCTGGCTCTAGATAGGGGCTTTCGTGAGTTGCGCCATAGTTTCTCCTACACGCTTGGAAGGCGAGTGGTATTCAGTTAATTGTAAGGGGAAACTTTACCGCTAGATGCCACTAAATCCTACACAATGGTCCTTTAAATATAAATGATATTTAGTTGGTTTTAAAGAGATTATTTTTCAGTGAATTGCTTCAAATTAAATTAAACTAAACTCAACTGTCAGTTTTTTCCTTTAAGATTAATATCAAATTGCATTGTTATTTCCAGGAAACTTATTAAGAGACTATTAAGTATTGACTATAGAGTAAAATTAAGTGTCCTAAACTGTAGCTGTGGCTGACAGTTACTTTTGTGTTGTTTTTTTTTTGTCATTAATTTAAAAGATGGATTGACCATGAACAGAATGTATGTGCAAAATTTCAAGGGAACACATCCAATAGTAGTCAATAGATTTTCATTCCAAAACTGAAATAAAAAGATAATGTTTGACATTTCCTGTGAATGTCGTCTGGTTTCACACCATCCAGTATTGTGTCTTCAGCAGATAAGACATGATTTATCTTTTGGTTTGACTTATTCCATCAGGAAAAGCCTCCACTTAGATTAGTTTCCCAGTTCTCGGTTACAAATCAGTGAATCAGACGTGCGGTTTGTTGGACTCACCTGTCGTGCCGTAGCGCTCTCATATCAACATACACAGTCGTGGGGTCGGGTCCTGAGGTGCCCTGAGAGAAACCAACAACAACAGTTACCGCAGTGTCCTTTCACTGCCACCGTACGCCTGCATGACAACCTCTACTGCTGCTACTTCTACTCCTACCGGGGCGCAGTGGATGCTACTGATCGTGCATTAGTGCTCACAGAGACAAGCTTTTCCCTTCACAGCAGAGGGAAAGTTCCCACAAAACCACATTTCCAACATGGTGGGGAGGACAATGTGGGAGTGACAGCGGTGGGATGATTTTCAAAGGAAATCAGCAAAAACAAAAGATTCAAATAAAAAATTTAAAAAAGCTCTCTAGAGTCAGATTCTACTTGATCAACATGCAAACAGAAAGTCACAATTAAACTGTTGTAGAGGGAAGAAAGGAGGGGAAAGTGACACCAGGCGGGGGAAAAGAAAGATTGAAGAAAGGGGAGATGAGTGATTACATCTTTAGGGCACCCTGAAACACCCTGAAATAGATATAAAATCTATGAAAGATGATTTGTCCTGTCTATATGTCGTACATATCAGCTCTTAGTTCTGTGTCGACTGTATTTCTACTGTAATGTGAGTGAGAGGGAAGATTTTGAGGAAAAATTAAGGAGAAAAAGAAAAGAGATAAAGACCCCTCCCCCCCTCGTTCCGACCTCTCTCTCTTCCTCCACCATCCCTCCATCCCCCTTTTCTCTCTCAGTGGTGATTCAGGATTAAAAAAACCTTCACAGAGCCCACCACCGGACACACAGCGGCATGCTGGGAGTCAGAAGCCCACACCCAGAGCACAAAATGGCAGACAGCATCATCTCCTCGAGGTAGCTTCTACTTTTAAACTCCACCAGAAGAAGAGTATTTACTGGCTGTTTGGAGCAATGGTGGAGACTTTGAGAAGTTTCTTTGGACAAATATTGAAACTTTTCTTTAGTTGTGACTCTGGATCAACGCTAGACTCTATCATAAGTGCCCGGTCACACCAGAAAGTAGCCCCATAACATTCATTTTCACATCCTTACAGGTGATTAGTGGATGTATTAAGGGAGACCTGGATACAGCGTTAGAGGCGGGCTCTGTGGCGCATGAAGCCAAAAAACTACACAGATTTTCTGCATTGTACGTCCCACAGAGCAACGGCACCAGAGACCGCCGCCAGCCAGGAGCTGCTCCCCCCAGTTAAGCCCTCCAATAACTTGAATGGGGATAAAATTATTTAATCTTTCCAAATGTTATTGAACTGAATGGATCAAATTCTGATAGTGAAGTGAGTCATTCCAAATTCTGATAGTGAAGTGAGTCATTCTTCTTTCACATTGTGACCTTATGGGAAAAAGTTGTTTTTGGACCAGTGTGCATCACGTGACGGACGCCATTCCTGTGATCACACAGTTTGGCTCTTCCTGGGGTCAACACACTCTCCTAACAGAGATTGCTCTGCGTTATGCGAGTAGCAGCCCCACTCAGATATATTTCACCTCTGCAGCCGAATCCACACAGTGCAGTGACTCCACTGAGATTCATTTTGATCCATTATTTTGTCGTTTTTTGTCATAAATGCTGGTGTGACCGGGCCTCAACGTTTCCTCCTGTCGGCTGGGAAGGAGAAAGCTGCAAACACCTTTCAGCCCTAACGGGAGTATTGGAAACTCAGAATCTACGTCTCCAGTGGAGTAATCTAAAGCCAGCTGATGAGTGATGTGCTGACAAGCAGTGGGGTGGAGGTGGTGGTGGTTGGGGGACGGGGGGGAGGAGGGGACTGATGGTGGTTCCCTACCTGGTCGGCAAGCTTTCCCAGCCTGTGAGGCTACAGCAGCAAAGAGGGGGCGGAGGAGGAGGAAGAGGAGGAGGAGGTAAGGCGGAGGAGGGAGGGTGGAGACAAAACCAAGTATGAGATATGTGGGCGGGTTATTATTAAAACAAGGAAGGAGGAGGGAAGGAAGAAAAAATGTCAAAATGGAAAACTCAAAGAAACCAAACAAGCAGTCAGGACTGAAACTGTTAGTGGAGTCATTTAAAGCTGCTACAAACAGTTATTCAATATATATTATATATATTATTCAATATACTGGGTAATATTCGGCTGTAATATTAGTGTATATTGACTCTGGTAAGTTATGAGCCATGCAGTTAGAAATCACCGTTGTGTACCAAGACATTGTACTGCTCATTAAATGATTCAATTATGTCATCATAATTCTTTATACAGGCTTGAATTAATTTACCATTCATATCTATTTAACAGTCAGCAATGTTTTAATTTAATAAAAACTTGGAAATGACTAATTCAATGATCTAGAGCACATCAGAATATATCTTTTTATTCCTCTCCAAGTTTTTCTTGCTCTTTCTTGCTGACTTGGGGGAATAAGCTGATTTGATCCACTTAAGGTTGCAAATCATATCTGAAATGTAAAAAACAATGATCAGCTTGAAATGGAAGGATGAAGCTGAACCGCAGAGACAAACAGAGAGCTGAATGCTTCGATGTTTGGATGAAAGACGGCAGAAGAGGAGAATGACTACTGAGGATGTAATCTCTCTGGAACTCGTCATGTAGTTACTCACAAACATATCGCTGTCGCTGGCTTTATACGCTGCATTTGCAAATCAATCTTACATTGACATCCATTTATTTTTGTACGCTTCAAAACCAGAAAACTAACAGTTTCAAGTGATGTGAAAATCATTTAGCTGATTAACGACGCTGTAAACTCTCAACGCAGTACAAAGCAATACGACAAAAACTGCAGTGACACTGTTTCTCCACTTTAAAGGTGATGAGCTAATGTGCTAACTGCAGGGTATGAAAACACAGTTGTGGTCTGTGAACCTTATGAAAGGCAGAACCAAGTCCACTGTCCCTGAAAGCACCAATTTAACTGTCTGTTACTGTCTGTATATTCGGTTAACCTGCCTAAATAATGGCCTAACAACAGATGCAGCTCCAAAATAATGACCTATTAATATAAAAACTCTGAGATTTTAGGAAATACAGTCCAGCACTTGTTTAGCCTAGCTTGGCACAAAGACTGGAAGCAGGGGGAAACTGAGTAAAATAAGAGAATAAGAGAGCAAACTATTTCTTGCACCTTGTGGACAAAACTCCTAAAAACTGGATGCACAACCACAAACTCATTAGTTTGCGATACATATTAACTTCTATGTTTTAAAGCTGCAGTAGGTAACTTTTATAAAAATAAATCAGTCTTTAAATAAATCTGGTTCCTATCAGATATAGTTAAAGACTTAATATAACATAATAATATAACAGTTACTTATAAAAGTTACCTACTGCAGCTTTAACTGTACTTTACCTTTGAGGCCAATAGACATTTATCAAAATACAAAATAGCTGCTAACAAAGAGCTCAACTTCAGCTAACTTCTGCATGGTCAACATCAGCTGAAGTGTCCCTGAGCAGGTGGTTTCTCTAATGTAACTCCGCAACTTTAATAGTGAATCCAGCCACAATGACACCAAGAATTGTCCTCAGTCTCTGCTGAAAAGTGGAAGCAGAGACAACCAGGAAGAGGTGATGGTCTGACTGACCTGCAGGCAGATTGCCAGGTTGACCCTGCAGCCGAAGGAGGTGCTGACGGCTCGAGGGTGAAGTCCCAGGTCCTTGAAGAGCTTGGAGAAGGACTGCGTCAGGGATGTCCTGGGACGCTCCTCCGCTACAACCACACAGGTCCTCACCCGAGACAGATCCAACCCTCGAGACTGAACAGGACAAGAATGACCCAGAATGAGAAGTTGTTGGTATCTGACATCCATTCCCTTGTTTCTGAACTTCATCAGGTTTCAAGCGTACAATATAAATTCTCCTCGAGACAGAGCGCCCCCCTTTACCTTCAGAGCGTCGGTCTGCAGGCCGAGGCCTTTGGTGCAGAGCTCCATGACGCTGTAGGAGCAGAAAGTGTCTCGGACTTTGTACTGACTGACGGCCGACAGCCAGAGCGCCGGGTTCACCTCCAGCTCGGACGGAGGGATCAGGATGGACTGGTGACCTGAGTACACACTGCAGAGGGAAACCAGAGAAAGGCTGTGAGCGTGGAGTCATTATGTCGTGGTTCCAAAACACCCTGCGGACAAAAGTATACAGACTTCAAATCATGTTATAGTCTAAGTAATGATTGTGATATTTCTGTTATTTTCTTGGATTTCTATGTCCAGAGACCATCTTTGGGAAAAATGTATTTGACGTGTACTTTGATTTCTTAGTTAGATCTTTACTGCCACCAGAGGGCGATTGAGATGTTTTGACTTCCCGTTTGGAGAACTGTCATGTCGTCCATCCTTATATATGTGGATGGTGTAAACCTGTACTGCCTTCTAGGAAAGTACAGGAAACCTTTGAAGCATCTTCCAGTGTAACCTGATACACCACAGTGATTACAAACTCCACAACCACTAGCCGTGTTTCCATCCAAATGTTGGCGAAATAAAATGAATGCTTGTTTCCATCCACCACGTTATGTGATTATTATGTGAGTTGGTTCATCAAGAATTCTCGAGTTGGAGAACCAGAAGGAGACAACAAAATAACCCAAATAAAAGAGCGACTGTCAAACCTCTAAGAGTGAAAAACAATGCAGAAAACAGGATGGAAATGTAATGTTTCTGTTTGTTTCTTGTATTAATGAGAGGAGGGTTTCATCAGATCTGTGTGGATGTATTATAGAGCTTTGAGAGGAGATGAGGAGACTGTCGAAGCATTGGCTCTTTTTCGAAAAACTGTTGAACATGAACATGAATATCTGCTGATGGCTACACAGCTAATGGTGCACATTCAAGATGAAACAAGGTGTTAAGATTCTCTTCAAAACATCCTCTTTGACCTGCATCTTACCCTCCCTGCCTGAAGTGGATATTTAACACTCATTAGAGCTTTTTTTCCATTTGTCTGACCTGCAAAGGCACCAGAGGACGAAGCCCAGGCCGCAGTACGGGTCCAGGCAGATGGCGACCTCTCTGGACGGGTAAAGCTCACACTGCAGCTTGATGGAGCGGCAGAAGGCACTGGTGGCTGTGTGTGACATCTAAAAAACACAAAACACACACACACACACACACAAACACACACACAACTCTCAGTAAAGGTGCAGTCAGTAATAAACGTGTTCAGTCCGGAGATCTATATTTCATGCAAGCAGTAAATCCATTTTCTTTGCACTACACCTAAACTAACAATCACTTTAAGTTACTAGAGTCAAACTGACATTTATAACAACATTAACAAGTTCTTATTGGTCTGTGTACTTTTGTGGTCTTTCCTTTCTTAAGCAGAAATTAGAAACAGAAAATGTTGTTTCACACACACAAACAAAACCTACTCGGGACCTCGTGCCCTGCTGGAGCTAAAAACGATTAATTAACTCCAAATATGTCCATAATATGTCATTAGCATAACAAAACTTGAAAAAATGAGGAGCCTCTGTGACCGTGTGAATTGACCGACTTGTTTCCCTCCCTGTGTTCTGGCGCCGGCACTGCCCGCTGTAGTGTTAATACTCCCGCATTGACTGATTTGCTCATTAGGAACGGTGATTAAACATAATGGACAGGCAATAACCAGTACGTGAGAAAACATGCTGGCATTGTTTCCTCCTGCCCTGCTTTTCCTTTTTGCTGATTCGTTTCTCAAAGCCTTAATTAACGAACCTTTTGTGGGTTCCTTTTATTGTGACTAATGCAAAATGACATGGCAACAGTCGCTGATGGTGTGAAAGTAATCAGAAGAAATATTTTGCGGTGTGATACAATGAGCAGAAATCCAACTGGCTGTTTAACTAAGATATATTTCATCAAACCTTGTTAAACTGTTCAAAGGAGTAAGAAGTGAGATTCCTACTGTCCTGTCGTGTAAAATGTAGCTGTGGGAAGTCAGCCGTGCACTGACTCACTGATTACTTCATCTCAGATCAGAACATCAAAGTTGGCGGAGAACAAGTTGTTTAAAAGCTGCTCACGTCTCAGGCTGCATTCCTGACAGTAACCCTGGGGCTTTCTGCTATGGCTTTAAAAGTACTCCGTCCAAGCATCCATCCATTATCTCAGTGGTTCCCAACCTGGGGGTCAGGACCCCCACTATGGGTTGCCAAAGCTTCAAGGGGAGGGTCGCGGGGCCTTCTTGATTTTAAGGGGTGTAAGAAAACTACAGGAGGCCGATATCTCAGCTTTTTAATCATTTCTGTAAATAAAAATGTTATTTTTAGATCTATACTTTAAAGATCTGAACACAAGCTACATTCACAGAGCATAGCGCTATCTGCTTTTATGTCGGTTATAAGTTAACAGTTGCAGTTAGTGATTTAGAAAGTACTGCTACTACGTAGAGTTTATTTTATAGTTTGTTTATGTTATATATTAAAGGACTAGTGTGTAGGATTTAGTGCCATCTAGTGGTGAGAATGCAGATTGCCCCAACTGCAATCAACCGAGTACAAAGGAGAAGCAAGTTTTGGTGATGGCAAAACTCGCAAAAAACTCAAAAAGCCCAGGACTAGTCTGATTCTGTTTACATTTCAGGGATTTACACAGTGGTCTCACCCTGAATGACTTACAATGACAGCAACTAATGAATGAATGAATCTCAATTCCAATATAAAAGACTAGTCGAAGGTCAGCGCTGATTTAACCCGACAGGAGATTAATTAATATTCTTGTTTCCCCCCGTGTGTAATAGAGAAAATAATATTTTAACACTGGCTGAAATGTGCAGCCTCGTCTCCGTTGGAAAAGATTTCATCCACAATTATGTTCTCTGATGTACACCGTTATCTATGGAGGCCGATAAAATGTCCTGAGTCAGGACCCATATCTGGTTTAATCTGTTAAATCTGGGTCCAACTAATAGAGCAAACTCGGTGGTCCCATTTCATTTAAATGTGGGGAATATTGCCTTCAGTTAATTTTCTGTCTGGGTTTTATTATTTTATCAACTGTGTGTCAATCTTGTGTAATTTATAATTCCAGCAATCCTTTTAAAAGAATAATGAACCTTTACACAGCTGGTATCTCCCCCAACAACAAAACCTTTCAATTATACATTTAAAACGTGTCTACAAAATAATTTCTTGTACTGATTGTGTGTCTGTTTATTGTCTGGAAACTGATGAGTCTTCTCTATCTATCTGCTCTGTGTTGAGAAACAAAAGGCTTCAACATGGGTGGTATAGAGACCAAACAAGAAAAGGTCTTGTTTAATGGATTCAAACACACACACACACACACACACACCTTTGCAGCAGATGAATAGAGGCACAGAAACAATGAGTTGAGTACAGGATGCAGGTTTGTTTTGCTGCAGCAGGAATCAATAGGCGCTTTAATCTTTAAAATGTCACCGCCATCTATCTACACACCTCCAACAATCTGGGCTGCACAGTAGAGCTCATATTGTTGAATCAACAACACGTGAGCGTCTCCTGGGCCATAATTACAGTGTTATACCTTCCAAATTCTGACCTTTAATCAGCGTTAATCAAACAATCAATCCGTCTTAATGCTTCAAATGTCAAAACATAAATGGGCTGATGTCAAGATCAGACTGGATGTGACATTTTACTTACAATGTGGAGCCCCTAACTGTCCAATCAGTGTCATTTTAAAAACAAAACAATGTTTATAGTCATGTTAGCTGATGCTAGCGGTCTCTACACACCCAAAAAATAAATACTGAATGCCATAAATTATTTAAATTTAATAGTGAGGCAAAAAAAGTTAAGTAATAGCCATGTTGTTGAGTTATTTGTGCTAAATATTCACGTTAGAACCCATTCTAATATCACAGATGGCATGTTAGCCTGCAGGGGTTGAGCTGCCACATGCTCACATATAGCATTATATGCTACTGTTAGCATATTAATATGTTATGTTAGCATTATGCCATGTTCAGTCACATCCAACCCACCTAAAGTACCAGTCGTATCAGTGCTGGGTAATTCTGAACGCTCTGATATATCTAACTTGACTTGACTAACAGAATAATCATGGATGACTCCTGTCTGCCATAATCCATTGTTCAAGGTATTAAAAACTCAAAATGTGCATTAAGGTTGTGTTCAAACTGGACAGGTAGTATCGTATGTGTGTGTGTGTGTGTGTGTGTGTGTGTGTATGTGTTTACCTTGACTCCAGCCAGCATGCCAGTGGTGGAGACACTGAAGTCCAGGTAGGCCAGGGTGTCGGGGTTGGACGGTTTATAGAGCAGAGGAGGTTTCTTCTTTGGCAAATCGTCTAAAGAAGAAAATCAATCCAGTTCCATCAGAGCTGCTTTAATATACAGAACCTGAACCACACAGCCAACTACAATCTGTCAGGATCACTTCTTTTTACATTTAATTTAACTTATTTTTCCAGTGTACTTGCCTATTGTTGGTTCTCATTGTTAGGGCATAGATTACCTGTCTATTAAACTACATGAGCTTCACCAGTTTAAGTGGTGGGATTCAGACTGTGCAGGAGAAACTTACAACAATAACAACATGTAATTGTATAGTTCATCTGTGTGAGAACCTGTGTGTGTGTGTGTGTGTGTGTGTACCTGTGTCCAGTACGGGAGGCCAGGTCCGGACGTCCACGGCAGCCGAGGCTTCCTTCGACCTCAGCAGTTTACAGATGAGCTGCGTGGTCATCACGCACACCGAGCGGCTCACCTGCAGGACACAGCACAGACAACCTGAACCCGATCCAACGCATCGGCGGGTAACCAATGACAGAATCACCACGTTACAGGAAGTCCTGTGTTATCCAACAGCGTGGAAGAGTGAGCATCAACCCACTGAAACAAAAAACCTCAACTGCTTGTGAGATTTATAGCGAAGAAAGTGCAGCTCTGACCTCGCACATCGCCTCCTGCCAGCTCCTCGTTATTCACAACTCTCATGCATTCATTCACTTATTTTTCCAGACCGCTGGCTAGTTTCCCGGCTGCTGCAAGCTGTCGAATCCTTTGCCCTTTCACTCCATCTTTCTTTGGTTTTCGCTCCATCTTTTCTTTTTTTAATTTATGAGTTGAGCAACTTCTATTTGTTTCTACAAGGCAGGATCCTCTGAGTGGTGAAAGTGAGGTTATAGTACTACTAGTATAGTGTCCCAGATATTCTAATAAAAAAGTATCCAAGTTGAATTTTAGTGAAATAAAGCCCGATAGCGTCACCAAACTCTTATTTGTTTATTTTACCTACATAAATCACATTAAACTTATTTTCGCTCCATATGTTTCTCCTGGTCTTCCACCCTGCACTGTAAAAAAGGAATCTCAAGAAAGTAAAAGAGCTTTCTTTCTGGGAAATGTGTCTTATTTTTTGTCTAAGAAGAAAAATAACCTTCTGATAAGAAAATATATCTAGCTTTGTAACTTTCTAACCAGTAACAAGTCACAACAAAGGTTTACATAATATCCCAGCAGGGGAACAAAATTATTGTCCTTATTTTCAGAGTAAGAGCACTCGCACAACTTCTCAGCTTAAGAGAAAGTCGTCTTGTCCCAGTGTTGGAAATGAAGCAGCTGCTTAGTTTTTCATTATTTTATTAAAAAATTCTAAAAATAAGAAACTTCTGGTTCCTTCATTTAAGTCAAAGTCACTTATTTTTATTATGCTGGTTAAAGATCTAAAATTAAAGTACAAATTCTTAAATTTAGCTCAATAAAGTGACCACAATTATTTTAAGACTGATATAATACTGAAATAACTGAGTTTTCATTGCTTCTAATAATAACTTGCTTACATTTTTGGCATTTCTTCGAGTTTTCAGGCCCATTACAGTCCTTCAATGGAAAGATCATTATGCTAGTTTTAAGAGTTTTAAAAACTTTCTTAGCCCATTGATTTGTTTTTGCTCAATACAGGAACATTTGATTATATTTAAGGTGATTGGAGACTTACTTTTGGTTACCGTTTCTTCTAAACCTTTTTTAGTGAATCTAATAGGGAATCCTGAATAAGACACCATCAAAGTGTTTTTACCTCCACGATCATCTTGACGGTGGGCAGCGTGGTGGCGATGTTCTGCGGGTGAGGCGGTCGCACCGTGATCGGTACGCAGCCGGCGTAAAGGCAGCCGTAAAACGCCACGATGAGGTCGATACCTAGAGGAGGGAGGAGAGAAGAAGAGGAGGGAGGGAGGATGAGGAGGGAGATGTGGATGGAGACAGGGGTAAGGAAAGGAAGAGGAGGAAGGAGAAAAGTGGATGAGGATGGAAAGGAAGGGAGAAGGGACGGATGAGAAGAGAGATGGATATGAAGGGATAGATGAAGAGGAGAAGGTAAAGACAGGAGGGAGGAAAAGGGAGAGACAAGAAAGGGAAGAAGGAGGAGGGAGATATGGGAAGGAGCGACGTAAGGGAGGGAAATAAAGGACAGAATATGGAGAAGGAATGGAGGGATGAAAGGGGCAGAGGGCAGGGAAGAAGAGAGGAGGAGGATTTAGAAAAAAGAAACGGTCACACACACACTGACAGAGGTGAGGAGGTGAAGTATTGAGCGGAGGACTCTGGAGGCGATTAATTGAACGCCGCTTTAAGACAATCTCCTCGTGACGGGGAATTCGTCCTGCATGGCTGCGTCCGTCCTGCTGTGATGGACACGAGGCTCCGTGTCTCAGAGGGAAATTACAATTCTTTCCCTTAATTTTCCCCGCGGCGCTCTCTTCGATCTGACCGCCAGACAGAAGCGCACTCAATGTCTTTGTCGTGTCCTTCCTCATTTAAAAACATCTACAGTTTGTCCTTGTTTACAAGTCAAGGCGAGACACTACAGGCAGACACATTGGGGGTTTTATGCACAAGTTCATTTTTAGATTCTGGGCTGTTTTGCTTCGGTCTTTTTACAGACTAGAGGAAAGAAAACTCCCAAAATACACATTTAGGTGTTTATTTTACGACATAAATTTGTAAAAATCGGATTGGCCACCTCATTATCCTTCATACCTCTTCCACTCTTTCAGAGGCAGTGGAGATCTGGTATCATATTAAACTAGAACCTAACGCATCCATTGGTACCAACTATGTCATGTTAGCATGGAAGACCTGGCATTAATCAATCAAAGGGATCCCTCTGACCTCTGACCTAAAGACATCTGAATGTAAATGGGGGTCTATGGGTACCCACGAGTCCCCCTTATGCAGAAATATGCCCACTTTATGCTAACCTTGTGCAGTTTTTGGGCAAAAACATGCAGTTTTATTGCATTTTCGCCTTGTTTATTTGAATATTTCTTCATACTGAGGTCCATAAAGAGTGTTGGAATTGCATAAATTGGGAATAACTGGGAAAACTGAGACACACACTTCATGCTACCCCTGCACAAATCAACATGCAAACCACCAGGACAGTGGAGCCACAGCTTGGTACTGATCTGTAATCAGTGTTTACCTGGAGGGTAGACCAGCGCGACGTGGTCTCCGTCCTGTAGGTGGCCCCGTTCGGCCAGCATGCCGGCGATCTTCTCCGCCCTCTTATGCAGCTGAACACAAGTCAGAGAGCTGGCTATCGTACCCTGGAGGAGGTCACACACACACACACAC